GTGAAGCCATGCTGGCTGTCTTGAATCACCTCCCTGTCCTCCATGTGCCTTAGCATAGCTTCCAGGAGGATCTGTTCCATGATGTTCCCAGGCACAGACGTGAGACTGACTGGCCTGTAGTTCCCCGGGTCTTCCTTTTTCCCCTTTTTAATCAAGAACTCTTCATTTTTGCTAACCAATACAGAGCCTGAAGGACTGCTTACTCATGGGAGAGCTGCTGGCTTCCAATCAAAAATTACACAACAGCTGAAACATGAGTATATTTAAGTGAATGGCAGCAATCAACAATGACAAATAATCCATTCCTTCACTATTTAGAAATGCTGTTACAAACCTTCGAACAAAAGATTTGACCAAAAAAGACAGAAGCTGGAAGAAGAGCTTACCACTTAACTAGATTCCAATCCATTGTAAGTATTTTCAGTGGTTAGGCATAAGAAATACCCATGCTACATCTAAGTCCAACGCTTTTACACAAAAGACAAAGTTTAAGAGGGACTGCAAAAATATTGGGCAAATAATTAAGACTCATTAGAATGAGATCATCTGCTGTTAAACATTTAGAAGATCCTACAAAATCTCTCTCTAATTAAAAGTAGTCCTCAGAAGCTTTTTTAAAAAGCAGCAAGATGCAGTAAGCTCAATCAGCATTAGTGCTCCTCCTTCCTAATCAAAACATTTGCCTATTAATTTACAGAATCAAAACTTGGAGAGGAAAAATGGGGTAGTATCTTCTTTTAAGTCATTTTAAGTAAAGACTGAATGAAGAGCTGTTAAGACAGCTACCTGAAAACTACAGTTATTCTAAGTTCCCCTCTAAAGTGTATGACTCGATTCAGAATCATGAAGTGTACATGACTTTTATCCATTCATGTCACAAATTAAAGATCTTTGATATTAATCACACCAAGACATACAGCAGTGCAAGAAAATTCATGCAAAGTGGGGAAGTCCCTCAAAATTGCTAAGCCTAAAAACAAGCTCAAAGTTTGAGATCTTTACAGCAAAGTTTATGATCACATATAAAAGCAGAACACATTTGAGCTTTAAGATCGAGCAAAGTATTTTGTCATTAAGAATTAATTCCATTACTAGCAATCAAAAAGTATGATAGCATTAAAGCACTATAAAACAGTGAAATGGTTCATTACACAACATTAACTGAAATTTTTGGTGTAAACTTGGTTGATGAATACATGTAATCTAATATATCATTACTTTGAAAATGTATTTTCAGTTACATTTTAAAATATAGTCAACTCCCTTCACCATCAAGAAACAATCTCCTTTTTAGGTGTCAAAAAGCACCTTGATCAATTCTCTCAAGCTTGGCTACAGTAAGTACACAGTGCTTTGACACATGACCAGCCAACCACTTTGGAGAAAATGCCTATCTTAAGTACATGCTTCTTACATAACCCCAAATTACTGGTCTCTGTCCTGTTGGTGTAATACACACACCTAGACCCAGCTAGCCAAATAATTTATTCAGCAAATATCTAGACTTCTAGCCAACTTGATGAAAAGCAGCAAATAAAAAAGCTTCATTTACAAAGCAGTTAGTAGTCTATTTCCTCATTTTCCCCATCTTCCATTTCCTGCCCCTCTCTCATTACAAACACAGTAATTTCCCTCTTGTCTGATGCACTCTCCAGCACCCAGACCCTAAGCACACTTACAGGCAACTTGGGTGTCTAGTTGGGTTGAGCCTAGAGGCCAGTGCAGACAAAAATTGTTCCCAATGAGACAGCTCTCAAGACTACCAAGAGCTTGTGGAACATATTGTTGTCATAATCTCAGAAAGAACACAGCAATTCCACTTCCATAAAAATGCTGTGCTATCTTAGACCATTTATGTACCCACCCCAAGTGCCCATATATAGAATGGTATCAGTCAACAGAATATTTAAGATCGTCTCAGAAAGGAAGTTTCTATCACTTGCATTTGTAGTTCCTTTATTCAGTCCTAACTCTTATTTTCTTTGCATATGTTCACTGAACTCACGATTAACTTTTAAAATTAATTCCCTTCCCTAATATCTGGCTTTTATCAGATTTTACTTTTAACATTATTTTTACTCTTACAAGCTAATACTGGTACCGTTATCTTCATGAGAAAACCTCAGTTGAAGTCTGGTATGCACAAAGAAATCTTACTTTGTGTATACTATTCCTACCACAGTACTTTTTTTGAACTGGCAAACATGACTATCAAGAGCTCAAAGAATGGACCAGTGAATGAAAGTATCGCACAAGCTGTATTTTGGAACACCAACAGTCATTTCTTTCCTCTCACTAAAAAGATATATTTTTATTCTTTTGGCAAGGCTCTTCCATCAGATGAATCAAGACACCAAGAAATAGGATAATGAAAAAGCTTATAAAATTCGTACAAGACCTTCAGCAAAAGTGAGATAACCTAAGCACTACTACTTCCCTTTCTCAAGGGCAGAGAGACAAACAAGACTGATTCATGCATGACCGTGACGCAATGGAGATTGACAGAGGACCTGGAGCCATTTGAGAAGCTGCACCCCCAACACAATCCCAGGAAGATCGAATCTCAGCGCTATCATGCCCTGCTCCAACAAAAATAAAGAACTCGCTGAGCAGTTCACAAAAAAAACCCCACTTGTTAGCCCAAAAGGGGCAGTCATGTTCTATTAATTTCAATCCTATCAAGCAGGGACAACTTGTACAATGCAAAGTAAGTAGCAAGAACACAAATACCCAATATTCAGTTCCACTATCAGCAAAACAAGTGCAATCAGATTTCGAAACTTTATTGCACTGTTCTTCACTTTTGGTTGTTCTTCATTTTCACCACTTCATGAGACAAACAGTGCTCTTTTAAAGCTTGTTTTAACTACTAAATTTTAGCATACTATATATTGGTCTTCTAGTCTTTGCCAGAAAATAAAGCAATTGATAGTTAAAGATCTATGCTTCTTTATAATATAAACAGCAACAATCAGAAGGTAATCTGAAACTCTATTATGTTTTCTTTGATATTATGTAGCATCAAACACATCTTTATTCACAGGAGAATATGAAATACCATTACAAACCACTCTCAATTTCCTTTGTTTGCTTTAATGCAGCCACAGTGATGACAGATACTCCGATTTTTGAATGACAAAATTATCTGAGAATTCTCTGAGCAGAATACTTATCTTTTGCCCTACAGAAAGGTACAGTATTTCAGAATAACGTGCATAGTATTAGCTACTAACTGCATGATAATGTTCTGGAGACAGGTTCTTGCCTACAGTCTCCCAAAGACACTCCATTACATCCAGCCGAGAGAGAAGAGTTTGCCTGTGCTTTGCAGAGGGGTGCTACAGTTCCATGAGCCACAGCAATGCAGGAAGGCTTACTCACTCCTTGCAGCCAATTCTAGGAACCACCACTGGCTTGGAAAGTCTACTCTTAAAAGTGAAACAATGTTATTTCAAGGACAGTACTACTCTTACTAACCTTTGCAAAGCCATCTCGAAGATAAGTCAGACCACAGTAACTGTACTGTAAAGTACCGTAACCAACAGTATCCATCCTCTGGACCAACAAAGTCTCCTTAATTTTATATCTGAAAAAATTTCCACTGAGACATTCAAGGTTTGTTTCCTCATGCGTAAGTCAATTCAGAGCAGTAAAGCAATTATCTTGCAACAGAAATGTCAGGCCACCTATAGAATAGCTACAGAATGCCTCTATTATGCCATGTTATCATTCACCTCTGAGACTTACCACCACTGTATTCTTATGGAGAGACTATTGAAAGTGTCTTGTCTGTCTCTCACATCTTCTAGCAGGATCCAGCACAGGACAGCTACAAACAGAAGAGCTCTTCCCTAGGACTGGATCTATGGCCTGGCTCCAGCTGGAATAGACAGAACGCACGGAGCATGCGCAGCTGGAAGTGCCTCAGCTAGATGAGTTGGCAGGATAAGAGCAATTCTGCAGAGAGTCCTACGAACAACATGTTAGTCCTCCCGCAATACACTACGAATCAGTCCAAGACCATAAGGCACCCATAGAAATCCTAGCACCAATCAAGCATCAGTGAAGCATTAGCATGCACATACCCACCTGGGTGAGGAATCTGTTTGGCTTTGCACAATGGATGCAAGCAGGTGGATTTGACAAACATGGTGTTCACAAGCACATTCTTCAGTCTAGACATGTCTTTGCTCTGTCCTAGGCTTAAACTCAGTTAGCTACATTAACACTATGTAAATCATGGTTTTAAGACATAAGCATTATGATTTGGCAATCAGGAATGTTTTGGCTTCAGTGAACTCCAAGACAAACATAACAGCAATGAACTTGGGGATAAGGAGTTGTAGCTTTATAAAAGAATGACAAAATACACTTTTTTATTGGAGCTTAAGATCTTAACTAGGAATTCTGCTTCAACCAAGTTTAAGAGTATTGTTTCCAGAGACAGCTAGGGAAGTTCTGAGTTACATAGCCATAAAAAATAATTTTAAAAAATTATTTCTTAGTCCCCATGGCAGTTTTGACCTTTGAGGTATGTGCAACTGTTCTTATGCAGTGTCATTTTGCAAACACTTCCTGACAAAGCTTTGAGGAGCAAAGAAAGACATGATCTTTGCCACAACTGCTAACAAGAACCTTGCAAGTGAGAACTATGAAATTAACCATTAGGACAGTTTTATGCTGTTCTTCAGGAAACCTGTGAGAAGTAGGGGATTTTTCAGATACTAAACTGAGTAGATCTACCAGTTTAAGAGGGAAGGACAGTGCAGCAGACTTCTCCACTCTTCACCCAGTAGAGCCAAGTGGCAGTGGGTAAAATCAAACATTTTACTTGACAGTAGCCAAGTATTAGGACTGTACTTTACTGGCAAAAAAAATACAGAAGGAACTCTTTTGCTAGTAAAGTCTTGAACTAGCCTTCTCAGATTTCACTTGGTAAACACTTAATAAGGAAGACATCACTTTAATTCACAGTAGTTACTTTTCTAAATAGCATAAACTATATAAAACATATAAAACAGGAAAAAAAAAAATCTTGTTAGCAAAATTTTGGGTTAGTGAAAGAAATGTTTTCCTTTCTTCCTTCCCCTCTGCTCCATTAGGGGTCTCTGTTAGGCTTGACATCAGCCCACCAAGAAAAACACTAATCTAAACTTAAGCCTGAAGGAAGTTCACTAGCATAACACTTTGGCCGCGGATACATTTTATGTTTCTTTTAAGAGCACTGTAGACTTTGGAAGCAGCTGATCACTGTAACTTACACTGACAAAACTTAAGAGACTACGACTGGGAGAAATTATCCCATCCTTATGTTGTACATGTGTCCCATACAACATTACTCAATATACATGTTTCTGAATCTCTTCTCAACCTCACTGACATGCAAACAGCTAAAGCACTACAGATCTGGTGATAAAACTGACCTAAAGGAGGTTGCACATTAGTAAACCTGTGGGGAAATCTTTAGACAACATCTGCCTATGGCAAATCCATCTCTCTATACTATCCCCATTGTTTACATGTGAATTAAATCATCCTGTTCCCTGTCCCATCCCCCCCAAGCAATTTTTTCCCCATTTATTCAACTGCCTGACATCTAAGCCTCCATAGTTCATCAGCTAGGGAGGGGGGCGCTATTACCTGTATCTTCTCAAAAGAATGTCCTCACCATTAGAGGAAGTATAAACAACTGAAATGAAAGATTCTTCATCTGGGGAAAAAAGGCAGTAACTGCTGTCAGCTAAATGTTATTGCAACATGGCCACCTCCACTGAAAGACAAGGAGTTATCACTGATCTGGTTATGTAGGTCTACAAAGTTATTAATTTGAAGATAAAGTGCAAGTCACAGATATATTAAGATACACTCTTAATAATACACTTTTACAAAAGCCATTGCTTCATAAAAGACACAGTTCTGAAAGGTCAGAATGTTCCCATCCAGATTTTGAAAGGACACGTGAAATACGCATGAATACTAAGAGCTGTTGTTCACCCCCGGGCTCCCAATACTAGACACAACCACCGCTGTAGCTGCCAGGGCTTCAACCATCAATAAAAATAAACAGATGTTTAAATATGCAAGACTTCAAGAGTTTTAAAACAGGAAGCTTGGTGTCTTACACACTTTTACTTAAGTAAAGTGAAATGCAAAATGTGCACGCAGCCTTTCCTGTCTTATGAATTCAGTAGGTCATTTTATACCGTGGATGACAGTATGAGACAGGTGACCAGATGTTCACTTTATCAAATGAACCAAGATCACATCTTTCCCTATCAACCCTTGCACATCAGCAAGAGTACAAATCTGAATTGGTGATAATGTTGGCTAACAGGTTTTTAGTTGTTTGGGGTTTTTTTGCCTCAGGTAGTCCCTCTATCAAAAAAAAAAAAAGAGTAAAAACATTTGAACTGGTGGAAAACTACTTTGATAGCAAGGACTACAGGTATGTGAACTATTAGCAGCTTTAATTTCTGTTTTTAAGACTAGCAAAATATTCCAATTCTTTAAATACTAATTTTCCTCAAAAATATTTCTACTAAGCATCCAGAATTAATCTAACTTTGGAATTTTTCACTGGTTACAACAAAGACAATGTAAGGCCTTATTTCACCACCTGAAAACCTCGTTTTTCTTTATTAGTTTATAATACAGATATTCCACCATGACAAATGCTACCTAGGTCTCCATGCTGAGCAGTCAATTCTTATCTTTTTTGTCAAATATTTGTTTCTGAAGTAACTGCGTTAAAATCAAATAAAGTTGGGCTGTTACAGCAAGATCTTACCTCCTGCATTATGCCTTCTTTTGGAGGAGTACCCGAGTATCAGGAATTAAGGGTATCATTTAATCAGCTAAAGCACGCAGGCCTTGCTAAAGATTTCACAAAACCATTTCAAGCCATGGAAAAGCTTACTCAAACAAAACAAAAATTCCACGAATGTATGCTCAGCCCTAATCACCAAAACACAAGACACTTAAAAAAGTACATAGATCCTTAACACCTGTCCATTTCAATAAGAGTTACAAACCCATGCACCGCTGAAGATCCCGGCCTACATTTCCAAATGAACGTTGCTTCCTTGTTTATCGGACAAAAAACATCTGACAATGATTTTTTTTAATATGGGTTAAGAAACAGAATGCCAGCTTTGCAACAAAACAAATGACGTTGTAACAAACCCTATTACGCACACAAATAAAACTCATTTCCGTAAGGGAAAATTTGTGACAAATTTTCAAGGAAACAAAACCCAAAAGAGTGCTGCGGCTTCCCGCAGTGAAGATACTGCTTTGTGCTTCAATGAGGCACTGG